AGGAATATATGCAAAAATTTATCATGAAGAGAAACAGCAAAACACATTCGTTCCATTCGATTATAGTAGAAACATTCTGATCAATTGCTGAATTATTGTTTTATTGATAATTTCGTTATAACATATATGGCTACGTCGGCATTTCAGCTCTCAGAAGAAAGCGCGTTTCAAAAGGCAACGTATGTATACATGGTATACATACACGCACTAAGGCATATACAGGGTATCCGGTACTCAATGGTAAAGCGCTCATAGGCAGGTAGAGTGGAAAGGTGGTGGGTATGAACTGAATAAAAAAGTTCTGTACCATTTTGCGATCTTTGCAATAATTATCGAGATATTAATTTATAAAGATCGCCAAATGGGAACGCGTGGTGAGATATACGACCGCCCATCGCGGATCGCGGTCGCCTAGCACGCGATGCGGGGTGGAAGTAATTGTTTTAAAAATATCGCGCTTATCTTATCTAATGTCGCTACGCAATAGTCTAGCGCGTGGCGCGCGGGTTTAACAATGCCCAGCATTGTTAGAACAATTACCCCTTACTTCACGCCATGCGCTAGGCGACTGCGGTCTGCGGTGGGCGGACATATCTCGCTGTGCGTTCATATTCGGTAATCTTTATAAATTAATATCTCGATAACTATTGCGAAAATCGCAAAATGGTACAGGACTTTTCGATTCAGTTTAGCTCACTCTGCCTGTCCACCAGCGCTTTACCATTGCGAGTACCAGACACTTGTAGAATCTAATAACGCCTGAATTGATTGCGACCTTAGAGAAGCACAAAGGAAAATTATATATAAGTTTATTGGTCGAATTACAGCAATGTATAATTTGAATCAGAAGCTCTATGTGATGATGGGGAAAACAATCGAATTTCGTTTGAAGAATTATTCTTTGAATTGGCAGCTCTAAATTGAGATGCGCGCATGATATCAGAAATTTATCGTACAGGCAGATGTTAGTGGTGTTACAACGGTGATATCGTCGTATTTCTGATCGTAGAAATAAACTCCGCAGGCAATGTCCGATTATTTAGATTAGACTTGCCAAAATTTTTTGAAGAATACAAAGATTGGTTTCCTTTCTAGGAAATATTTTAATGCAATTATAAATGGTAATCAGTCGTGAGAAATTCTCACAAATTTCAATACTTACAATCATCATTAAAGGTGGTGCTGTTAATATAATTAAATCATTAAAATTGTCTAATCGGAATTATAAAATGGCCTGGAATTTGCTGAAGCAACGATATGAGAATAAACGTACGTATTATTGAACAAATTTATGGGCTATTATTGAACAAATTTATGGGCTTTATTCGAGTTGTCGAACCTCTCAAGAGAGAACGCAACTGCGTAAATTCGTGGATGGGGTTACAAAATACATTTAAACTGTAAATGCTTTGCATTGTTCCACCGAGCATTGGAATCAATATTATCAATTCATTTGCTCGCGTCTAAGGTGAATCCAACCACAGCCGGAGAATGTGCTAAATGTGCAGAATAATACTGATGATAAACTTGATAACACAAGACTTTATATATAATGTTTTTTTATTTAGTTTATCAATATGCATTAACATTATACATACATTTCGTGCATAAGATTAAAGAAATTTTATAATTTAAAATAAAAGATATTTCTGTATCATATAATAAAATATTTATAGAAAATTTAAGTAGCTATTAAATACAAAAGTTATCAAGTTTATAAACATGATAACACAAGACATTATTATATAATGTTTTTTTAGTTTATCAATATGCATTAACATTATAAATATATATATTTCGTGCATAAGATTAAAGAAATTTTATAATTCAAAATAGAAGATATTTTTGTATCATGTAATAAAATATTTATATAAAATTGAAATAGCTATTAGACACGAAAGTTATATCTAAATTGCATTTCTTGGACTATATAAGCGCTTAGCGTTGCTAGCAAATCATAAACGTACAGACTAATACAGTTTGAGCTTTAATAAGCATTGAGATGCAACTGTCATTTCTATCATTGGCTTTTGCCATAATCTTTATTGTGGCAATTATACACGCACCTGAAGCGGAAGCAGAGGCCATCTCCGAACCTGGTGTACCTTGTCTGATAAATTGCAAAAAATAAATTCTTGAATTTTCCAAACCTTGAATTTTTATGGTATGTAATATTAGTGATGTTAAGCATAGTCGTTCTATTAAAGCATATTCTATAGCAGGATTCCTTTTATATAAACGGAATAATTTCTTATTTTTAGTTTAAGGAATTTACGAAATGCGTACTCGACATGGTAAGTCGCAAACTATATATGTATACGAATTAACAATTGTCATCACATTAATGTAAACGTCTATCTTTTATTTAGGCAAATGAAATAGCTGCATTTTTCATGGAATGAAATTTCGATGAAATAACGAAGCAATTGAAAAAAATTTTGCAATAAAATTGTGACATTACAAGAAATGCATAAATGTTATTATATATTTTTTCAAACAAAAATGTGAATTATATTTGTATGTCTCTATTGTATTCGTTTATAATTCGCAATAATAAATAAATATAAAGTTTGTCATCAGCAGTTTTATGTTTTATTTACTGAAATTTTATAATATTTTATTTTTATTATAGTTTATTCTTTTGCTAAGAATAGCAATTTTGCAATACATTTTTAGCTATTATTATTTAGACTCTAAAATAATACTTTTTCTTACGTTTATATTATATCATAATAAAGCATATAAACTTGGCGTGCCCACATTTATATATATATTATCAATTAAATATTAATGCAATCCGGGCACGCCAAATTTTTGCTTTACTATCATCCCATTGGTCATTTTAGTCACTTTAAGCCTCTTTTATAAAACTTGAAATTATTTAGTGGCATTAAACTTTTGCAGAATATATTATACTTTTGAATGGTTTAAACGGTTTATTAAAAAATATATAACTCTATGTCTAATCCAATACTTGGCAACTTGTATGATCTCATATTTGTTTTTGGTCAACTTTTATTTGTTAAAATATAATAGTTTTGGTTTATACATATAAATCGAAATACTCATTATAAAAAATTATAAACTCTGACGTATTTATAATTTTTTATGTACACATCATACTTCTATCTTAAAATTTATTAATTATTTAGATAATTATATCTAAATTAATATTTTTCGTCATCTAAAGTAGACCTATTGTTAATAATGTAACCTTATTTTTTATTAATTCTTCAACAAATTCTTCAA